CAGTGGCTGAAAGCAGGGCTCTGGTGCTGCACAGACCTGGGTTCAGGGCCCCATTTGGACACTTGCTTGCTGTGTGACCCTGGCAAGTCACTTCCTCTCCCCGAACCTTGCCCCAGAACAGGGGCAAGAATGAGACCTATCTCACAGAACTGAAAGGATTCATAGGGACGTGACACAAAAGGCACTCAGCATCATGCTAGGTGTACAGTAGGTGCTCAGTAAAGCTGGCTATTAGCTTTCGAGGACCTGCCAAAGCCATGGGGAGCAGTTTGACTCTGGATGGACAAATACAGGAGACAGGACATTCATTCTGCAAACTGTGGGGGGGGTGTGTGCATGTGTGTGTGTGTGGGGGGGGTTCAAGGGGAGGGAGGCGAGAGGGCTGCACCACTGGATAAAAAGAGAGCTCAGGGTTCCAACAACCAGATGTGTGATCCTGGATAGGACTTTGGACACTCTGGGGACAAGTAAGGGACAGGTGACTATGAACTGACCATCAGAGATGAAAACATTGACACAGAAAGGTGACAGGTAACAGAAAGCAGCAGGTAACAACACAGCACTGCAGTACCACCTCATTTTATTTAAAAAGCACACGCTTGCACACACACAGCGAAAGGACAAAGGGCAAAAAGCTGCTCACATCTGAATGGTAAAAGCATGACATTTCATTTTCCTGTTTCTGCTCATGTGTATTTTTTTCTACATCGTATAGACGTCAACCCTCCATCCACAGATTCAACCAACCAAGGATTGAAAATATTCAGGAAAAAAAAAAAGCAATAAATGGTCAAAGCAATCCTTCAAAGGCTGAGAGGGAACACGCAGTGCTACCTGTGTAGCACTTACGTTGCATTAGGTATCATAAGTTATGAAAAGGTGGTTGAAAGTGTACTGGAGAAGGTGCCTATCTTATTACACAATTACTATGCCATTTTATATAAGGGACTTCAGCATCCACAGATTTTGGTATCCACTGGGGTCCTGGAATGGATCCCTCGTAGATACTGAGGGGGCAACTATATACCATTTTTGTAATAGTTTAAGACAAAAATCATTTTTAAACCTGAGAAAAAAGAGCCCAGACTCTGGAGCCAGATGAGATGGACTCAATGTCTTCCTGGCTGGGTGACTACAGGCTGTTGCTCAACCTCTCTGAGCCTCAGTTCTCTCACCTAAGAAGACTGGGCCTGACACACGCAGGTGCTAAGTGACAGCCAAGGAGCTGGTCCCAAACCAGCTGGAAGCAAGGAAGGATGGGGAAGGAAGTGGGGTGTTTTACAAAAAGCTCCTTGTCAGGAATGAATGAAAACACAGCCTCGAGAAGCAGAGGGCTGGCCCAAGGCCACAGAACCAGTGGGGAGGAGCCCTGGCCATGCCTGCTGACCGAGGGGCCCAGCAGTGAGCAAGAATCTTCACTGGTGGAAGAACCGGCACATGCACTCCCGCAGCACCAAGCCTCTCAGTGTGAGTCACAATATTTGCTGTCTCCCAACATGACTCAACCAGAACTGGGGGGATTTTCTGTGAACAGAGGCTGTGAGGGTAGGTGTGAAATCCACAGCCGGCTGGAGAGGCTGGGAGCAGCTCCAGATTCTGACTCGAGAAATGGCTGTCCTCTGCTGGCAAAGAGGGTGCCACGGACACGTGAACATCTCTTCTGAGTTAGGGAGGCAACAAAGCCAGTGGGTAACCGCTGCATTTCTCAAACAGCAACCCATGGGAGTCCCAACCTGGAGGGTTTGCACAAACCAGTGCACTGTTCTGAACTTTATGGGCTCCAAGAGACACCCTACCTTTCAGCCCAAGATCGTTAGAATAACAAATGTTTATTGAGCATATACTATGTGCCAGGCATGCTTTCTCATTCAATCTTCTGGAAGCCTCTGCAGGGTGAGTGTTGTTGTTGTTGTTGTTATGTGCCGTCGAGTCGGCCCCGACTCATAGCGACCCCTCCTTGGGTTTCTGAGGCAGTATCACTACGGAAGTAGGATTGCCCAACCTTCCTTCCGAGGAGTGGCTGGTGGGTTTGAACCGCCAGCCTTCTGGTTAGCAGTCAAGCACCTTAGGCACTATGCTACCAGAGCTCCTCTGTAGGGTGAGTATCACCATTTTTCTCATTTCCAGGTGAGGAGCTCGAAGCCTACAGAGGTGAGCAGGCCTGCCCAAGGTCACCTGGCTAGAGGGTGGCAAAAAGGAATGGGAACCCAGGCCAACCTGAGCTCTTTGCCACCATGATGGTGTTGAAGGTCTGGGTCTTGACTCAAACAGCCGTAGGGGTCATCTGGCTCAATGTCCTTGGCCCTGGCCACACATCAGAAATCACCTGGGAGCTTTTTTAAAATACCAGGGAAAGGGTTCCGCTGGGACCAATTACATCAGAATCTCTGGTGTAGGGCCAGCCAATCTGGGGTGCCTGGTGATTCTGATGTGCAGGCATAAGGAAGACAAGGGGTGAATGCTAGAAATGCAAATTGTCTGCAAATGTGCTCTTAGACATGTGGCTAGGAGTGTGTGAAACTGGGTCCACAGGGTGGCCATGGCTGGGCGAGGGGCTGTGCAGGCCAAGGCCCCCAGGTAGCCATTTCACTGAGGGGAAAGTGTCCCCAGAATGACATCCTGTCCCCAGGGAATGAGACAGGTGCAGGGAGGCTCTGGTGGCTTCAGCCCCCTTCATCCACACGCACACATCCCTGGGTCTACAGCTGCCATGGGCAACCATGGAAGCTCCAGGGAGATTCCCAGCACCACCCTGAAGCAGAATCAGCATCATCCCAGGCACAGTGCCTCGCAACCCTGACTGTTCATCAAAATCGTCTGGGGAGCTTTAGAAAAACACCCAAACCTAGGACACCCCCCGCCCCCCAGACCAAGTATGTGAGAGCCCAGAGGAAATAATGAGCCAGAGCTTGGAAGGTCAGACAACAGTAATAGCAACAAGTGTGCCAATTTTAAACTCTTCAATCCCTTGTTCCAACCCTGACTTTGTGCCTTGCCTCTTGCTGATGATTTGGGCTCCCCAAGCTTCTGCTGGCAATGCACTAAGAGGGCCGGTCTCCCGATGGGCTCTGCTATTTCAGAAAGAGCCAAGTTAGCAGCAATGTAAAGTTCAAATAGGATGTAAACTTCAATAGAGGATGGAGGCTGCTCTGGAGTTAGACTGATTAGCTGTGTGCCCTTGGACAAGTTACTCAACCTCTCTGAGCCTCAGTTTCCTGATCTGTAAAATAGGAATACATGTAGCAATTGTCTTCTAAGGTTGGGGTAGAGATTCCAAGAGACGATGTGGTTACAGAGCTTCCAACAGTGCCTGGCACAAAGTAAGTGCTCAGTAAGTATGAACATTATTGTTTTATGTGTTATTTGTGTTTTGGGACGTGGGGACCCCCATCAGTGATGCTGGGACCATTTTCACTAGTTAAGCGACTGCAGGTATCTTCTCTGACCACGTTCCTGGTAGTGACCCAACGCAGAGCCTGGAGAGAGGCTTGGCGTGGGGGGTGGAGTTCAGCAGCTGCTCCTCACTCCAGCTCGAAGCCACCGGCCCTGTGACGATGCTGGGAAAGGCACCAGCTGCCCCCTAGTGGCCAAGGGCAGAAGCTCATGGAGCCAATTTTAAACCCTTCACTTCCTTGCCACAACCCTGACTTTGTGCCTCGCCTCTTGCTGATGATCTGGGCTCCCCAAGCTTCTGCTGGCAATGCACTAAGAGGGTCGATCTCCCAATGGGCTCTGCTATTTCAGAAAGAGCCAAGTTAGCAGCAATGTAAAGTTCAAATAGGGCCAGGTAGGTGCCAGCCACTGGTCTCTGAGCACTTTACCATAGGGTCTACTTTCTCCACCCAACCAATTGCAGAAAGAATGTTCCAGGAGCTAAGGCAAGATTCTGTGTCTCTGGCTTACAAGCTATGAATGGATGGATGGGTGCTGAGATTCCAAGAGGTTGGAAGCTTAAAACATCCCTTTTTGGAAAAGCAGCCTGGAGCCACACTGGGACAACCCAGAGCCCAACACCATCATGGTACATCTGTCCCAACAGGAGCCAACTGAGAAAACCTTTCCCAGGACTCCTTTCCTGTTCCCAAAACAAAAAGCTAAGTGACATGAACCCCTTTATTTCCTTGAACTCCTGAAGAGATATCAGAAAGGGCTGCAGCAGGGACAGGAGGTGAACGGTGTGGGTGGTATGTAGTCTCCAAATCCTTGGCCTTCTTCTTGGATACAGAGGGAAGCTCTGTGGACTTGAGAGCTTCTCATTCCCCCTTTTGATCTTTTTTGCAAACTGATCAGGTACAAATGGGAAGAAACTGCAGATCAGTCCTGCCTTCAGCCAGCCTTTGAGCCTGAGTGCCTCTCACGGACGGAGCTCCTGCAGGGCAGAGACTACCATCCAACACCTCCTGGAGGAGCCAAAGTCCAACTGGCAAGAAGGGCAGGCCTCCAAGAGTGGCACAGGGAGAAGAGGCAGGCCCACGTTGTGCTGAGTGATTGGAACAGCCCGAAGATGCACTGGGAGGATGGTGGGGCAAGGGTCACTCTACCACCCAGGGTAGCTTCCTGGTGGAGGTAGGAGGGGCCTGGCCCCTGGGAGGCAGGTGGAAGGGTAGTAGAGGCAGAGGGGACAGAGAAGGCATGCTGTTGCAGAAACCAGACACCCTGCACCCAAGTCGACCGGAGACCTTGAAGATGAAGGCAGAGGCCCAGAGCAGATGGATCTGTGGGTAGGACGATGGCAAGGCAGCTCTTCTGCCTCAGGTCTCAAGTCTCAGGGGCAGCCATGTGGCCCTGCTGCCTGACCTGCCCAGAGAGCACACAGAAGGCAGACAGGACCTCCTTGGCAGTCAGTCCGCTGCAGGCTCTGGGGCCCCACTGCTGGGACTGGAGGCCCATAGTCACAGGAAGGATGTCACAGAGGAGATGGGTGCCCACTGACCGGCAGAGGCCATCTCTAGCACCTGGGAAGTGGCTTCCTGGTGGGGCTGCAGCAGCATAGGCTCATCTCAGAGGCCAGCCAGGGCTTGCCGGACAGGGGCATCCAGGGAGGCAGCCAGGTGGACAGAGACACCAGGGGCACCAATGCTGGTTTCCCAACAGTCAAACCCACAGCCAGTCAGTGCCTGCTTGGTGGCCTCCACCACTGGCTGTTCCACATCTGGGGAGGGAAAGCAGCAAGTCACCACTGACGGTGTCAGCTCCCTTGGAGAATGCTCATCCTTGCACAAGGAAGAGGCCCTGGGATGGGGTCTTCTTCCTGCCGGGCTCTTCCCAGCTGTGAACCCCACCCCACTGATGGGGCAGGGCTGCTCAAGGAGGCCGTCTGCAGCCCCACTAGGTGCTGGAACAAGAGAGCTCTGCACTCTCCCAGGGGGCTTACAGATGGACAGTTAAAAGCACGGGATCCAAGCCCAACAGGATGGTGACGATTTATTAAAAAAAAAAAAAAAAAAAAGGCAAACAACAGGTGCCGAGAGTGATTCCCCACCAGGGATATGGAGAAAGAACCCTCATGCATTGCTGGTTGGGTATAACACGGTGCAGCTGCTGGGGAAAACAGTGTGGTGGTTCCTCAAAAAGTTGATACTGCTGTATCATTGAGCAATGCCACAAAAGATTTGAAAGCAGGAATGTAAACACATACAATGTACACTGACGTTCACTGCAGCACTACTCACCATATCCCAAAAAGCGGTACATATGACAGAATATTACTCGATGGAATATTACTCAACCATTAAAAGGGATAAACTTTTGATACATGCTAACACATGGTGAATGTTGAAAACATAACAGCTGAGTGAAATAAACCAAAAACAAACTCACTTCCATCTAGTCAATTCTGACTCATAGTAACCCCCATTGGGTTTTCAAGGTTATAAATCTTTATGGAATTAGACTGCTTTATTAAGTCAGTCACAAAAAAGAAATATCATATAATTCCATTTATGTAAAATACCTCCAATGGGCAAGTGTAGAGAGATCAAGGTGACTGGTGATTACCAGGTGGGCGGGCAGTAGAAAGGAAGACGTGATGCTTAGGAGACTGAACTTCTGTTAAGGGTGATGGAAAATTTGGAGGCAGATAATGGTGATGGTTAGAGAATATGATGAACACAACCAATGCCATTCAATCAGACGTGTAAGGCATGTTGAGATGATAAATGCTGTTGCGTATGTGTGTCTCACAATTAAAGGGGAAAGCACAGGTTCTAGAGTCACACAGACCCGTCCTCACCATTTATTGACTACGCAGCCTCAGACAAGTGACTTCACCTCTCTGGCCTTCAGTCTCCTCATCTGGAAATTGGACCAATAATGATACCTACTTCTCAAGGGTTACTATGAGACCTTAAGGAGATCATGTGATAAAGTGCTTGACATAGCACCTAGCACATCACACACCCCAGAAACGTGAATTCTTGTCATCATCATCGACCCTGAACTAGGAACCAGCTGTCAACCAGAGGTTAGGATGTGGCTACCTCCTGAGGCCTGGGGGTCACCACTGTGGGTTGGGGGATGCCTTTAGGGCCAGTGCTGGGCTCAATGCAAAGCAAAGGAGGAAAGGGTGAAAAAGGGAGGAGGAGGAATAGATAGAGGGGAGACAGAGCAGAGAAGAAAGACTAGAAAGGAATGGACAAAGAGCAAAGAAGGAAACAGGCAGGCAGTAAGCTTTAGTGCTGCCTGTGGGCCAGGAACAGTCTTGGGGGCAGATGGTCATGGAACACGACTACGACCCCCTCCCTAGGCTCCCCGGGCACTGGCACAGGGGTCTTCTGTGAGTCCAGATGAAACACCAATAGGAAAGAAACCACTTTGGTTTGGGTCTAAGTCAATCCCTATTCTGGGCATGTCAGTGAGAGCAGGTGATATGAGGCTCATGTGGATGACTGCAACATATATTTCTGAGGCATGAGGTAGGCTGGCAGGCAAGGGGGCAGCAGGGAGGAGTGTCCACTACAAAACGCCAACCAAGAAGCCAGGCCCACACCAGCCTCTCTTAACTCCCTTTTTCTCCTTGAATATGGGCAACAATCTTACAAGCTAGTTGCTATCATCCTTATTTTACCAAAGAGGTAACAAAGGCCCAGAGAGGTTAACTAATTTGCCCAAGGTTACACAGCAGAGAGGAGACAGCCCCTTCCCTGTCCTGAGCCCAGGCCGGCACCTCTACCCATCCCTGAGTACCTGGTTTGAGAAGTGTGATGCCACAGCCACCGCCACCTGCACCAGTGAGCTTGCTATGTAGTCCGTGGGCCATGGTCACCTGGCACAGCCTGTCCAGTGAGGCGTGGCCCACACCAAGGGCATTGAGATGGTGCTGGTTCATGTCGATGAGCTCCTGGAGGAGAGGGCTTAGTTCCAGCTTGGCCTGTCTGAGGCTGAGATCCTGCACCCACCCACAAGCCGACCTAATCCATCTGGACAGCTACTGGTTCGGGACAGCCAGTGGCTGTGGCCACCTATATACCAGCCCTGTCCAGTGGTCAAAGAACCCTTCCGTCCTGCAGGACTCTGCATGGAGCTTGGAAGGAGCTAAGCTAACCGTGGTGGTGAGCACATATCCCAGGTCTGGCTACAGATGCCCTATCTCTGGCCATGGTGATTGGTTGACAGTGGGCCAGTCAGGGTTGTCTCTGCCTCTCTACCCTGGAACTGCTAAAACAGGCTGACTTCAGATGTAGGCTGCCAGAGTCATCCTCCCAGCCAAGTGGTCACAGGTTACATGGAAGATGGAGAATTAATTCCCAAACACATCATTTCAGCTCCTGGATCCAGCTATGCCTGAAGCTGTGAATCCCTGGTCTTCTCTGTTATGAGTGTACAAATGTCTTTTCTGCTAAAACTTGGTTGAGCTAGATTTCTGTCATTTGCAAGAGAAAAAAAATCTCAAAAAAATATGCCCTCCTACAGCTGCCTCAAGTGCTGATTTTCAAACTAAGAACTGGGTCGTAGTTGCAGCAAGCTCATGAGTGGGGGAAGCAGCTAAAAGCTTGTCTAGGTTCCTTTAAGGACACATAATAAAATTCTCATCCTCCTGAAGATCAAGTAAGATGCACTGATGAATTAATGAAACTAGTAGTTACCACTGCCCAGGCATCATCGATTCACACCTCATTTACTCCATCAGTGCATGCCAGGCACCATTCCTGATGCTAGGGCTACAAAAATGACCCTACTCACCGTCCCTGCCATCAGGAAGTCAAGAATGAGGATCTGGGGTCAGGGAGGGCTGAGTGTGTGTCCCAGCTCTGCCACTTTTTGGCAAGGCTCTTCTCTTCATGCCTTGGTTTCTCCCCTTGTAAAACAGGGACCGTTAAGTGGATCCACCTCACAGTCATGAAGTTGCAAGAGGGAAGTCTTTCACACAATGCCTAGCATGATGAGCTCTGCAAATACAGAGCTATTAGTATTGTTCTGGGTGTTACCATTGTCTCCATTTTACAAAGGGGGAAACCTTGGCTCAGAAAGGAAGGTGACTTGCTTAAGGTCCCTGAACCAGTAAGGCGTCAAGCCTCCAAGTGCTCTCAGCATCCCAGCTCCCACCCACTTCTAGGGGAAGCAGTGGGTTTGCAGAACACGGTTCAATAGCATGCCGCTTGGCTCCCGGGTACAATGAGTGCCTGTGCGCCATAAGGGCTGCCAATCACAGATATCTCCACCGAGGCCCACCTGGCTCTTCCGCCCCTGGGGCGGCCAAACAGGCAGAGTCGGGTCAGCCCTCCCCCGCCACCCCACCTCGCATGCCCCAGCACTTCTGACAAATGAGCAGACAGGCGTGATGGCCCTGTGGCAGCCCCAGGTGCCTTTCACCAGCCCTGTGGGCTGGATGTGAGCAAAAACCTCTCGGGGCCTCGCTCTGTGCCTGAGCACCAGGTGTCACACTGCCGAGGCAGGTTCCAGACACCTGTCATATTCTGATCCAAAATCTGTCAAGAATCAGATGACAGGTTGTGACACAGGAGAACAGCTCGATGGTTTGTGCGCAAAGCTGTCCGGGAGTCGAGTTGCACATTTCAGCGGCTGCCACAGCCAAAAATATACACAATATATAATCAACATACTGTTCTGTGGCATTCTCTGGGGGCTCAACAGGGTGTATTTTAGGCAGTACTCTATCATTATTAATTTCGTACTCAGGAGGACTGTGTTCCCTCCTTTCTACGTGAAAGGATGGAGAGCCAGGAAGGCAAAGGCTGGGATGGAGGCAGATGGCTGGGAGAATGAAGGCACAGGAAATCAAGGGCATCCCTGTGCCTGGCCTATAGCAGGTGCTCATTAACGCTTTGTGAAATAAATGAATGAGTCAGTTTGAGCCCTGGCTCAGCCACTCACAAGCTGGGTAACCTTGGAGAAAGTCACTTTCTTTAGGCTTCTGTTTTTACATCTGTAAAATGGGGACAACACACTCGCTTCACAGGTAGGTTGTTATGAAGATCAAGTGAGAAACCGTGTGTGAAATGGGTTGGTATAGAAGCAGCTTCAGTTCATTACAGAGGCTGTAGACTCAAATGCCTACAAGGAACAGGGAGGCAAGAGGCAATGATTGTGGCAGGCTATGCATAGAAGATTAGGGAGTGGTAGAGACAGCAGCAAACTGAAGCAAGCACACACAGCACAGCCCCTTTCGAGGAGGCAGGCCTTCTGCAACTCCAGCCAATGGCTGCTATGCAGCCACAACGGTTCCGGGATGCCTGGTCTTCCGAGATTCTTCAAAGGGAGCCAGAAGGCTTTCTAATGTCAGTCCATAGTCACCAGCCTGTGCCTCTGGGGTACTGAGCTGGTGGTCTGCTGGGCACTGTGCTGTGTGCTAAGCATTTCACTCGAAGAATCTTTATACTTGCAGGACACTCAGTGAGGCCAGCAGAGGGTGGAGTGAGGATTCAGACTCTGGTCAAAGCCACAGCCTGATGTCTCATCCTCTCTGCTGGAATTATGCAAATGGTGGTGGTTAGTGTTCTAATGCCAAAAGAATAATTTTATAACATATCTGACCCAAAGCAGGAAGGTGATAAATCCTTGGGGAATGAAGAAGTCAATGCAGTGAGCAAAAACAGCAGGGAAGAGGGGGCCAGGTAAGAAGTCCCTCCTGGATGGCGGCGGGCTCTGTGTCAGCAATGTCCTCGACTATGGACATGGCCCAGCATGCTTGGAACACAGCTGCCTGTCGCACTTAACTTCCACAAGCCACTGACCTGTGCATTTCTTCATGTACTAACCCAGAGTCACCTAGGAAGGCGTTTAAAGATAAGATACACTTGCTCATGTGTGCACATATGACTACAGGCCCAGGGCTAGGGTGCTGACCCCACAGGTCAGAGGCAGGGCATGGATGCTGTATTCTAGCTCCCAGGGGTTCTGAGCCACGGCTTGGACAGCTGAGTGACCCCAGATCCTCCACATGGGTTCTTACTTCCAGCACATGGTACTGCTCCGGGGCCGGGTCAGCCGCCATCTCTCCCAGCACCCGCTCGCACTCCAGGGTGATGGCGTCTATGGAGGTGAGGAGGGGAGCCATGATCGCTGGGAACTGGTGGGGAGGAAAGATCTGTAAGATCTAAGGGCAGGCTGACTCTGGACAGCTGCCTAGCACTGGGGGAAGCAGGGGCCCCATGCCCTACACCCAGCTTCTGAGGACCTTTCCTCTCCTTCTGGCTTGGTCTTTGCCCGGCTGACTGCCCCAATGTCAAGAGCTAAGATCCCGCAAACCAGTGCATCTAACCAGCCAGATCACTGTCATTTCAGAAATCCCTGCCCCACCACCTGGCTGCAGTGTGGCATGGACAGCACCTTTTTCACTGCCAACACCACCTGCCCAAGTCTCCTTGGGCCACTAGCTCGGCCTTCCCCTCCCTTCTTCTCTACTTTCATTCCAAATGTAAGTGTTGTGGCCCACCCTGAAAACCACCCAGAAACCCACCCAGGAGTTGAACGATGAGCACCTTGATCATCTTACTCCTGACACCGGCGACAAGTGCCTTGGTGCTGCGGGGCACTTTGGTATTGGTCAGCAAGATCTTTAAAGCTGGAGGCCTGTGGGGCAAGAAGAGCAAGGTCCACACTGAACCCCAAGCTGGAGGAGCTGGGCAGGACTCAGGGTAGTCCTGGACTCCATCCCACCGCGTTCCAGAGGAGGGAGCAGATGCCAGGGATGAGCCACCACAGAGAGCCGGAGACAGGGCCAGGGGAGGTCCTGCCTGCCAGCCCACTGTGCCTCCACCAACTGCAGCCACCTCAATACTTCAGCCCTTGGATGGACGGGCCCTTTCCCTCAGCTCTTCATTCATTCATTCAATTTTGACTGAGCACCTATGTGCTAGGCATGAGTGAGGGAACCTAGCTTGGTCTGGGAACTAGAGGCAGGGAAGGAAAAGTCTGAAGGTCTCAGAAGACTCTCCCTGATGTGATGTGCAAGCTGAGAAGTGAAGGAAGGAGAACAGAGCAGGGTAGAGGTGGGAAGGCAAGTATTTCTGATGGGAGCAGTTTGCACAGCAGAGAGATAGCAAAGCCGGCACATTCATGGGATTAGACACTCAAAGTGGCTGCAGCAAAGGTACAGGTGGGAGGCCCGAGGGGGCGAGGGTCAGTCTAGTGGCTATGCCAGAGATCCTGCAAACCAGTGCATCTCACTAGCCAGAAGCTGGAGTGGGGGTGCTGAGGTTAGAAAGAAAAACCAGTAAGCCTCAGGATGGATCATACAGAAGGGGTTTGGGGCATGGGAGGATGCCCAGGTTAGCTGGCACAGGTGGCACTATTCACAGGAGAGCAGAAGGAGGGCCCTGCCTAGAGAAAGACTTGCCCAGCAGCCCAGGCATGAAGCCAGATATGGCTGCAGGGAGTCGGGTGCCCAACCGATGGCCTCAGGTAAGTGGACAGGGGTGCCCTGAGTGGCAGTGGGAGGCCAACTCCACAGCATAACCCCATCATGCTCTCCTTGCCCCATCCTAGGTACCTCATAACCCCTCTTCACACCACGACCCCAACTGGCCATATGGTTGGCTGTCTTCAGGGACTCCAGCCATCATTTCCTATCATCCCAACCTGCCTTCCAGAGCAGCGCAGGCCAGGGTGCGGGGGGAGCATGGGGATGAGCTCTGGACCAAGCCGGCTGGAGCCAGGCAGACCCTTCCATCCGTTTATGCGCTTTTCTTTTCACGGTTCAAGATCATAAAATCCAATCGGACTGGAAAAGGCTTCCAGAGCAGCTTTATCTCACCACCCATAAGCCATGAAATTAATATCGATTCTCAAGCCTTGGAGGTTGGGTCCTTTTTTTTTCAACTTTACAAAAGATGAACATTCTATTTGGCTTTTTTCTCTTCCCTTTAAAGACAGGCCGTTCCTTGAAAGGGCAGTGTTCTGGGAGGTCACATCTTGACCTACTTCTAAACAACGCATCTTCTGATAGAGAAGCACCCATGGTTTGGGGCCAAGGGCTCTTTTTAAACCATCCGTGGGATTAATGCAGAACCCGCCCTCCTAGCATCCCAGAAGACCTGCCATCTGCTCACGGTAGCACCTGCAGCGAGCTGCGAAGGTCGTTTTCCTCCCCGTCCCTAGCTGTGTGTGGGGGGGGTGGGGCGGGGGGGGCAGCACTGAACAGCATGTTTCCATCTTTCTGAGATAGGTCCTCTGCTAAAGCCCCCCCATACACACTAGGGCTCCAACAATGTTGGTGGACACCAGAGGCCTAGGACTAGTGCTCTGCCTCTCCAGTGGCCCTTCCCTCCCTCTCTCTGCTGGATAACTCCCTCGCTGGCCTCCTGGCAGCACCTCCCAGACAAGCACACTCCTGCCTCAGGGCCTTTGCATTCGGACTTCATTCAAATCCCTGTTCAAATGTCACTTCATCAGAGCCCCCTCCATCACACCATACAACTACCTCCCTCCTCCACTTTCCAGCCCCTTTCCCTGTGTTACGCATTGAGTTAAATCTCCTAGAAACTTGTGCTGGAATTCTAAGCCTTATACCAAAACCAAACTCACTGCCATGGAGTCAGATCCAACTCATAGCAACCCCTCCTTGGGTTTCCGAGGCGGTATCACTATGGAAATAGATTGCCCAATCTTCCTTCCGAGGAGTGGCTGGTGGGTTTGAGCCACAGCCTTCTGGTTAGCAGTCAAATGCTTTAGGCACTAAGATACCAGAGGGCTCTAAGCCTTATTATAACCATACTGAAAACAGGCTTCTCTGTTATGTTAATGAGGCCCTATCTGTGTCCGGTGTGTCCTAGACTCGGTGACTCCTGAGTTAGAGAAAACAGACACAGAAGCAAATACAAATGGGGTATGTGCTGGCGGGGGATAAATGCTACGTGAAGATTTCCAAGGAACTGATCAACACCAGGGATACAGAGGCTCAGAGACAAGGGTCTTCCCCCACAGCTGGTGCCCTGACTTAGGACTCTGAGCCTCCTGAACTGTGAGAAAATAAATTTCTGTTTGTGAAAACCACCTACTGTGGTATTTCTGACAGCTACAGGGGGAAATGAAGACGCTGGCTTTACGCTTCTTAAAGGCACTTCGGACTGCCTAACACACTCTTACGGAACACCCCATCAGCTGGCTGTCCTGTGCCATCATTCCATGATGGCTGGAGTTTGTCGTGTGCCCTGCTGCGGCTCCTGCACCCAGCACACAGTAGGTGCTCAGTGCAATGGGTGCACACATTTGCTCAGCACAGAGCTAAAGCATTCCGCCAATCTTGTTTCAGATGTCATTCTCAAGATCCTCCCTAGACAAGTAAGCAGACAAGTAAGATTCTCAGGAGAAGAGATGTGCCCATGGTCACCAGGCAGGCAAGTGGCAGAGCTGGGCTCACCCCCAGACCTGCTAACCCTTGCCATCTGTTCATAAGCCTTCTGCCCTGGCCTCACTGCCACTGCTTCATT